TTACATTTAAAAAGGATTTGAGAAGTCTTAGATGTTTTCTGCATTTGCCAAGAAAAGGTTTTAGTTTTAAGGATGCAAAAGGAAGAAAAACTCTAAGGGAAACTATCATAAATCTAATCCCTAATGTTATCATACAATGGTGGCCCTAAGGTCAAGGATAAAAGGGGAACCTCTAACTAAGTTAGCGTGCATGGATTACAATCCTAATGTCTATCGTGAATCGCTACCAAAGGTTGAATCGAGAGATCCTAAGAGAACATGGAAAAGGTTCAAAAGCTAAAGAAAAACAAAAGCAGAAGGTGCGAACAAGCAAAGATGAAACCAAAACAAGAAAACAAAGCTTAAGGAGTATCCACTCACTCAAGTAGCACACACCTAATCAAGGTATCATGGCACCATGATAGGGTAAGGAGAGGGAGACCTGATCACGATATCGTATCATCGAGGCAGTACAAAGGAAATGGGGCACATAACCATGATATTGAATCATCAAGGTAGGATAAAGGGATGCTTAGCCAAGACATCAACTCATCAAGGCAAGCAAAAAATGGGAATAGTAGTTCTTAACCGTGATATCAAATCATCAGGGCAAGAAAGAAAGAGGTATCGACTCATAACCAAGATATCAAATAATCGAGGCAAGAGAAGAACAAAAGTGAATTATCATAAGTGAGTTAGCACCTGACCAATATATCACGAATCGAGGTGGAAGATAGAAGGCACTAATGAGATCACGTCAAAGCGTTAAAACTCAACAACAATGACAAATAATCGACCAAGAGAATGCAAGCATGCATTATGTGAATATTAAAACTCAATCTACATGTTAGAAGGAAAACTGGACAACATTATATACATACATGAAGTTAAATGGAAAATTGTATCAGAAACGAGAAAAATCATTATAAATGCTCATGAAATGATCAATTATATGCAAGCAAGTATTAAATGAAAATTGAAATGACATATATGCGTGAACATAAATTTCAGACAACATGTTTATCGCACATGAGATGCTAAAAAATATCAATTTAAAAATCTACCGGAAACAACACAAATGTCAAACAAACATCGAGTAATGACAAAACATATTCCGGTGCATGCTAAACCTCATTTTTTGTAAACTTTTATTTACGGGACAACACCACAACAATTCACAATATCGCTTGAAAACTCGGATTAAATTCGGTAAAACTCAATGTTAATAGTCAACAAATGTCCAATTATGAATGAACATGTACTGAACACAATTTGAAACGCAAAACATAAGGTACTTCATTATTCCAGGCAGCAACTCATTAATCCGTGAAATAGCTTGGAAAACCGAAGTTTAATCGTTAAAACTCCATACCGGTATCACACAACAACCAAGACAATATCGATTATGTGTTAAACAATAATTAAATCATCGATTATAATACATTCGATTATTCTGGGCAGCATTACTCATGAGTGGATGAACATCAAAGATTGAATTTCAAAACTTCATTCGGACATGTTGAAAACAATTATTCAACTCATGAAACATCGCCTAAAATTCTCAAATAAATTATAACAAAATAAATCCCTACCGGTATCAATTAAATCTTCCTCAAGTCAAAAATCATTTTACGCATCAAAATCAATTTAATGTATCAAGATTCGATTCCGATATGAAAATCAACAATTATGCACAAGACACCAAATCAGAATCCAATTTTGACATGTTAATTTGGAATTAGAAGCAATTTATCGATTTCGACACATAAAGCTTCATGAGATTCTCAAATAATTAATCAACTCCATATTTATGCAACATTCACAATTCAAGAATCAACTTAATTCGCAATTCTCAAATAAGCACTTATCATAAAATCAACTATCCACACAAGTGCTTAATTTCTCAATTCAACCAATTCCAGATTCAACATCAACAATTCAATTAACAATTGAATTCAAAAATTAAACAATCAACTCATGAAATCAAATAATTCAAGAAAAAGAACTTATGCACAAAATCAGTTATGTAAAAGCACTTAAATCAAGAGAATGAGAAATTACCGAATTGAAATCGAAGATTAGAAGAGGAGGATGCTGGGTCGGAGAAAAAATTCAAAGACGGAGGAAGCTAGCGGTGCGAGCTCGCCACGATGGAGGGACAGTCCGCGTACGATGGCCGAAGGGAGTATATGGCGGTGGTGGTCCACGGAAGGAGGGAGATATGTCATCGGAAGGATGCGGTACCAGTGGGTGGCGCGCTGGAGAGAGAGAGAGAGACGGGGGGAGTAATGACGCGAGAGGAAGAGGGAGAATCTTGGAGGGAGTTTTTGATTTTTGAACTTTTCTCTTGAGTCTTGAGAGAGAGAGAGAGAGAGAGAGAGAGAGAGAGAGAGAGAGAGAGAGAGAGAGAGAGAGAGAGAGAGAGAGAGAGAGAGAGAGAGAGAGAGAGAGAGAGAGAGAGAGAGAGTAGAGAGTATTTGAGAGAATTTGGAGAATGAAATTTATCAAATGATTGGAATATTGTGAAAACAGAGAGGCAAAAATAATTTATAGTCTTGACAATTGGGCCTTGGTTTGGGTCAAGAGAAAGCTCAATCAATTTATTCACAAAGCTGAATTTTCAGTGTCAGCAAACGCAATCGCACAGACAATTCATGAACTCAATTATAATCGGTGCGAAATCTCGATGCAAGACCAACAACAAAATTGTAGATGGTGAAATTTTTGACTTCATTTCGAAAGAATCGTCTCAATGCGATAAAAAACGAGCAAGTTATGAATTTTCAAGTGAAGAGAATAATTGACACTGACACTGCCTTTTTTCAGTAATACAGAATTTTCCGATGTTTGGTTTGAGAAACGAGTCATGAACCAAAGTCTTCGGAGCTGAGTCCTAACTCGAGCTCTAAAGACAACTTGTAGCTAACATCATTTGTGAAATTATACCGAAAGAATCGTCTCGATACGATAAAAATTGAAGAAGTTATGATTTTTACAATATCGAGAAACGATGAAATAAAAATCTGGTTTAGCACAATATTTTCTCTGGTAATTTGCATTTCGAGGATCTTCCTCAAAGAATCAGTCCTCGACCCGAACATACGGAATGAAGATGACATCAAGATAAATTTTTCACCCAAAGAACCACTCAAAAACATCGAACCGGGTGGAAGTTATGAATTTTTGAACGTCTGAAAAATAACGGTTCAGCACATCATTTCCACTGTATTTCCACTGTATCTTTTCAAAGTATCCTCACATTTAGAGATCTTCCTTACCAAATCAGCTTCTGAGACGAACACACGAACTGAAGATGATATTAAGACGGTTTTAACGCCTCAAGAACCGCTTCAAAACAATATTCCAATCAGAAGTTATGAATTTTTTATTACTCGCGAAATGGCGGACCATTAATTAAATTCAGTACACTGTCTTCAAAGAATTAAAATTCTTAAATATCTTCTTCACAAAATTAGCCTTTGATGCGAACACGAGAAATGATAAGAAAATCAAGAAGGTCTCAATGCTCGAAGAATCAATTGAAAACACTGAATCAGATGAAAGTTACGAATTTCTGAACACTCGAGAAATAGATAACCAATCATTAAATTCAAATACTATTTCAGGGAAATCCAATTCTTTTGAGACTTTCTTCAAAGAGTTGGCTTCCGGTCTGAACATATGAAATGAAGAAAATAACAAGACAGTTCCAATGCTTGAAGAAACATTTCAAAACAGTATCTTGATTGCAAGTTGCGAATTTCTAAGCTCAAACCCATCAAATATGTTGTTTCTGGTTCGCATCGTCTCAAATTCACTGAAACACCCGATTCCTCCGCAATTGAGAGTATGTCGACATACATGAGAGCTTATGATAATGGCTTGACTGATTATTGCTTTGATAGCTTGCGAAATTTACAGAACACCTTTAAACCTTGAAAACTAGAATTTTGCCTTGTTATACTGCCCGCCGGAACAATCTTTTTATGCATAACTTCCGAAAAGAAATGCCTTGATCCCATGATCATTTACAGATTAATGAGGCATGCGATGCTAGATGACCTAATGAGAAGTATGTACACGAAGAACGCGAGATGCATAAGTCAGATGATCCTTATAAAGGAGTAAGACAAATTTAAGGTAAGACAGTAATCTCTTCAACTATCTTAAGGCTTACCAAGATAAGAAGTGAAGCTACCGGAAAAACTCCACTGAAGACAACTTCATATTCTATCACTTTAGCTCATGTAAAAAAGAAACTTACTTAATACTCGAGTTTCAGAAACACTAGTTAGCATCACCCTAAAATTAATACTTATTTCGTTCTTTTTTAAGTGTCATTTTAGAATAAAGTTGTTCAATTATGATTGTGGATTGTTAGAGTTATTTTTCTTATTATACTCTTATTTATTTTTTCTTTTTAAATAAATTCAATCATACATCCTCTCTCTTTTTCCAATAACTAATTGAGAAAATAATTAATTTTATAGAAAATGTAAAGTGTAATTATTAAAAAATTAAGAATATAATTGATAAATTATAATATTAAACTATAAAAACGATACTTAAATGAAAATAAAAAAAATCTTCTAAAATGACACTTAAAAAAAATTAAACAGGACCTCGAAAAAATAGAAATCTCAATTATTTTTTTATAAATTATAAATCTGAAATAAATACATACAGATTTATTGTTCAATTTAATATGAAATGTCGTATGGTAAAGAATAAACAATGCATGCCAAGTTTACTATTCAATTCAAATATTTTATGTATCAAGAGAACAAACTAGCAAAGATCTAATTGATCCATAAGTTACTTCCAAGTTCCAACCATGGGAATCACTTCTATGTAACATACATCATACCATTTATATCTGCCAAAATTCAACAAGGCAGTGCAATTGCAACCCAGCAATGTTAGGTTCTACACATAGTTAATCTTTATCTTTATCTCACTTTTTTTTCGAATCAAATCAAAAAATAAACACTGACCAGACATTTATAATAAATGAGGCAGCTTCACAAAAACTTTCTCTTTTTTCTTGATATTGTATGATTCTGCATCCCATTTGAATCCATATATAACATTGGTTCATTCTTCACTAATAATGGTTCATTCTTCACTAACAAGCCAGAACCCGAGCTCGAACCAGAACCACAAGACATCTTAGTAATTCCATTAGAATTTCCAGGAAATGCTAAACTCAAAGAAGTTAGAACAAACTCATTTGGATTAACACTTTCCTTATCATAACTTTTGTTACAAAGAGTTGCATGATTCTTTTGATGATTTATTTGCTTTGGTAAAGCCATGTTGCGCGATTCAACTATTCTTGTATTTGATGAACACATTGAAGAAACTTTCTTCTCATTTGATTGGAGACTAGACAAAGATAAATCACATGACGGTTCCTTTGGATGATCAATTTCTGTAGATGGTTGAAATTTTCTTATTAGCAATTGAACTTGATTTCTAGCTTCATCTCTTTCTTGACAAACACTCTTCAATAGTTTGTATAATTGTTTAACAGTTTCTTCATATTTCTTTATCTCAGCATTCGCTTCCATTTTTGATGATATCAATTCTAGCCTTGTACATATAAGCTTGTTCTTGATCTCGTCAATGCTCTATTAAAAAAACATATAATTCAATTAAACTCGTTTCTCAGGACACAATTTTGATATTAATATATAAAAAAATTATTAAAAGAAAAACTGAAACTATTTTGTATATATATTCACCTCGTTTTTGGAAGAAATCATATTTATAGCTAGCTATGAAAATATTACTAAAAAAACTGAAACTATTTAACAATATAAGTTGTTTCTTGTGGAAACACTAATTCAAAGATTCATGTATTTTGCTGATATAGGATTTTGAATTTAGATGTAACATTGTTTTTATATTCCAAATTAAAAGTTGTTTAGTTTGTTAATCACTCCTAGTTTATAGGGATTTTGTTTTACATTTGTATTATTAATATCCACTTCTCTATTTGTTATTCTTTTGGCCTATTTTTGGTCCTTTATTTTAGTCATTCATTATTTGGAAAGTTTATAATTAGACTTTGACAGATAAAGTACAGTTTTGCTTAGTGTATCTAATACTAGAGAACAAACATATGGTAAAATTCAACTTTATGTTAGTTTTTGTGTGTAACAAATTTATTTTCTGTTGCAAGAAAACTAACTGCATCTCAATTGGTTACTATAGATTTAGTATATTGTAGGTTTCAGTTTTTGACCAAATGATTCTTCTACCTTATGACTCAATCATAAACGTGGTATATAATTAGACATATGTACAAAGAAATGTTAGAAATTACTTAGAGTAAAGATAATATATGTAAAGGGTTTAATATAGATATTAAAACCGTTTTAAACTAGAATCTAATTATAAATCATCATTTAATAAAAAATTATTTTTTACACAATTTGACGTGTATATTTATACGATTTCAAGCTTTTATATTGTTTTTCTCTTTCACCTTAGATCCTATTTTTTTATTCATGTAACATTAACACTAGTTCAAATATAGGAGAAGATCGATTGCAAAACACAGATTAACAATTTGAAGTTTTTCACATTTCGAAAGGTAGTTGAAATTCAGATTCTTACCAAGCTTCTGCAATAATCTGTTGAGATAATCCATTACCAACACAAACAACATGTGAGACAACGGGTCTTTTTGTCTAAGGCCTCGTTTTGCTTGGACATTTTCTGAAATGATGTTGTTCACCTTGCATCTATAGGATACAGTCTTAAGCATTATCATAATACAGTTTATCACTTTATTTGGGAAACTCATCTCATTCAAAATATCTTTCAAGGGCTTGCAACTCCATGCTATCATAGACTTTGTGAACATCCAACTGAATATTGTGATGTGCCAAGAGGCTTTATGAAACTTGACAACTTTAAATTATATTAATATTAGTTGGTTTTTGAGTGCGCCTAAGACGAGGTTGAATAAAGTGGATTGCATATTTTTATTATTTTATGTGATGTTGTTTTTATTTTCTTGTTTGTGTATGAATATGAAAGCAGTAAATGAAGAAAATAAAGAATATAAGAGATTTATACTGCTCAAAATATTAAATATAAATAAAATTTTAACAATATGAGAATCCTTAATAATTTATATATAAAAAAATTTCAATTATATTTTTTAAATTTAAAAGAAATGTCATATTTATATAACTAATTCAATATTATAAAAAAAATTATATTAAGTTATTTATATATATTATTTGTGATTAATCATTAAATTCATAATACATATAAGAGTAGATCAATTTAAATTATAATTATTCGTTTAGTATTTAGTCTATAATTTACAAAATTTAAGAAATTTTTTATTCGATGTTAGATAAAAAAAGTTTTAAATCATATATTCTCTAGATTTTTATTTTTATTTTTAAATTATAGTATATCTTACCATATTAATTTTTTTCTTTAGTGTTCCTATGTTAATCAAGTAACTTCTTTCATATTTATATGATATTTTTTTTATGTTTATTATAGTGGAAGAGATATGTTGTGATTTGATTAATAAATTATTTATTTCATGGGATATAGTAAAGTATTATTTATTATCGTTAATTTTTATCATTAATGAATTAAAAAACTTTATATAATCATCTCAATAAATTAATTATTTTCACTTTCATAATTAAATTAAAGAAAAATGGTTTTGAAAATTAAAATGAAACTTTCAAGAGTGTTTTTTTCAATTTTATAGGCATTGATGATTCTAAAATTTATTAATTTAAGTTTAATTTTTTAGCCAAGCTATCTAAGTTTTTTATAAATAGTGATATTTAGATTCTTAAGGATACTTTTATGATAAATTTTTTTTAGATTAGTCCTCATATTTCTCATCCATTTAACAAAATAAATCAATTATTCATAATACATATTATTTAAATATTATAATAAATCAAATACTCTATCATTATATAACTCTTAACTAATATTCAGAGTTTAGTAACATACAACTAAATCATTTATAACTTACAACTAAAATTTATTTTGCAATTTTATTTTCCATAAATAATTATGTAATTTAAAAGGAAATATAGAGATAGTTAATCATTATTATCATATTAATAAAAATTTAAATAATAATAATGTAATTTATAGGATTCAATTGATGTGTGAAATAAAATAGAAATCATACCTATTATTTATATAAAGAGACAGTATTATTAAAATGATGTGTAACAAAAATAAACTATTTTTTTGTTACAATGTTTAAAAAAGAGAGAGAAAAACTATAAACATAAAAATAAAGTTCTTCCCGCGAATGGAAGGGAGTTGTGAATCATAACTTCAATATTTTTAAATAAGATGTCTTTGATATTTTGGATGGCCCAAATTTCTATTCAAAGTGAAGTGGGAATGGTACCGACAAAACTATTAACAATAATGCATGAATAATTGAGAGAGTTACAATGAAAAGTGAATACCGACTAAAATATAAATCTTTGAGTCATGGTTATAAAGAATGAGAGTGATTCTAAAAAAAATTAGAAAATTAAAGAGATACAATCAATGAAAATAATGTAAAAACCGTTACTTTTTACATAATAAGAATTAATTTAATTATTTATATATATATATATATATATATATATATATATATATATATATATATATATATATATATATATATATATATATATATATATATATATATATATATATATATATATATATATATATATATATATATATATATATATATATATATATATATATATATATATATATATATATATATATATATATATATATATATATATATATATATATATATATATATATATATATATATATATATATATATATATATATATATATATATATATATATATATATATATATATATATATATATATATATATATATAGTTTGGATTAAATTTAATAAATTTTTTATTACTATTTTTTCTTATATTTTCAATACTAAATGTGTTTTTTAGTATATTAATATAATAAAATATTTGTAATAGTCATTAATATGATTTGTCAAAAAAAAGAGCACTACAACGAAAATAATGTAAATTAAATATAATGTCAAATATATTAATAGACTATTAAGTTGGAAGTGTGGAAATTAAAGAGTTTTTAATTAATTTTTAATGTAATAATTATTACTTTTAAGCGATTATATTCTTTCCTAACCACTTTGAGTTTAGCCTTTTGTTTCGGTAACATACCCACATCTATTAGCTAATTAACTTGAAAGATTAAATCTTTTCACCTTCTCGTTGGAGTTAGATAAAAAAATTAGTTTTTTTATCGTATGCAAAATAGCAAGTTTGTGGTTGCTCTTGGAAGTGAGCAAAGTTCAAGTTTGGGGTTGAAGTATTAGAGATATTGGTAAAAAGTATTGAGAAAAAACCAAGAAGTCAAAACAATTTTTTCAAAAAAAAAAGAGTGAAAGAATGAAAAAGGCATAACAAAGACCACAAAAAAACATAAATCTCTAGTACCAATAAGAAGGAAAAAAAGTTATTATGATTACAAAAGGAGAACTAGGAACCTGTCTCCAAAGGTTTAGACCTACTTTTCTAAAAATATCCTACCCAAACCTACGCCACATTACAATCGAAAAAGCCCTCAAGTGTACGCGTTTTGATTACTTTGAAAATTTTTTTTAGATCATGATCAAACTCAGTATAAGAAGTTTTGCATATTGATTGAGAGATTACCCTGTCAATTGAGTGAATTATAGTAACATGAGAGACATGTTGAGTACTTGACAAGGTTGAGGATGTTTTCTGATTTTGCCGGATTGCATTTATAAGCTAGAATGGTGATCAAGTAAAAACAAATAGTATATGATGATGTTCAATTGTTATTGTTGTAGTTTGTGTTTCTGTTTAGAATTCTCAGTTGCATGCAAGTTACTTGAGGACAAGTAACAAATTAAGTTTGAGGTTGTGATGACACTCTGTCATTGTATATATTTTGTCAAAGAAACAGAGAAAAACAAGTAAAAGATGACCAAATTTGAAGAATAATGGCCAAATAGTTATGTAAAGATGACCAAGCATGAAGAAATAGGGACTTGGAGAAATTTGGCTGAAAAACTACCTTGCCCCTGGTTGAAATTAAGTTTTTTTAGAAAATAAAAACATACAGATTAACTCCTTATTTCTCCATTGTTTAGAAGTTGAAATAATTTCTTACATCGTAAACTTGGTCTTACCATTGAAAGCATACGTTATCAAATTTTTGTTATTTAATTTACATCATTCTCCCTCGAAGTTTGTTAAACTGGTGGAATGGAAGATGGAAGTGAACACTTGATATTTATGAAAAGTGATAGAAGAGTGAATACGAATGGATTGATTTCAAAACATGCATGCTCATTTTATTAGTATTACGAAACAAAAGATACAAATTTACATCAAATACAACTTAGCAACTTGGAAATTACAAATTGAAATTGATAAAGTCTAATGATCCTAGAGATGAGCTTTTTTGTTTATCCACTGACTTTAAGAGATGATTAGTAGTTCTTGGACGTGTCAGAGCATGTGGATGACCCTGGTCTCTTCTTGGGCATACCAATTCTGTTGATAGGGAAATTGTTCTTGATGTAGAGGAATCACCAGTAATAATGGCATCTGAGGCATTGTGTAGGCCTGAAGGGTTGCCTTTTCTCCACAATAAGATTTGTAGGACCAAGCTCCATTGAATCTACAATGCTTAATCTCATCCTTCCATAATTTTATACTTTCTTAAGTTTGTTT